TAATTTTAATATTTATTTACTAATGCTAACTTTATATACTTGACATCACCCAATTTATAGTTTGTTAACTGATTCGTGTTCGTTCCAGCTAGTTTGTGTTCCTATCAGCTGTCTTGTTCTCGTCTCATATTAATATGTTTCTAGTAAAGGTAATGAAAAATATAAATATTTATCTATATATAAATAAAATGCTTATCATGATCAGTACAGATATACATTTTTTAATAACGTTCATTCTGCTTAACGTAATATAAAAATAATTGTATACATTAAAATATAAGATGTAATAGAGACACATCCGAATGATTAATTAACTGCAAGTGAAGTGGAGGTATACACTATGTCATACTATCACATCCTTACAGGTCTGAAAGTTAAGTAAAATAAATGTTCTTAAATATGTATATAGGCACAGCTCCTGGTGCTACTATATTAGATACGAAATATTTACTTAAAATATTGAATTATGTCCAGTAATAATTAATATGGATTCCTCGTTATATATTTATTATTAAATATATTCAAATAGATGCATCCGAAGAATTTATCAATACAACTAAAAATTCATCGACTAATAGAAGATCTTTGGAACTACTTAACGAATTTGGCTATGATAGGCTAGATTCATCGGCAAAAAATCAAAATCATTCAACGATAAATGATACATTTCAATCGCTTAATACTAACTGTCCAGATTCCACTCATGGATTCGATTCCAGTTATACTCCGGATATAACTAACCAGTCCAGCATTTTAAATAATTCAACCAATAAACAAGTTTTTACTTACACAACTGAAACTCCACTAAGTGATGTCAGGGATTTGATTATTCAAACTGCGAAAACCCAAAAAAATTGTAAGAAACATTTTTGCTTATTTTGCAATAAGTTGCAAACAAAATTCGCTCGTCACTTGCAGCTTGTTCATAAAAATGAGCCGCAAGTACAAAAATTCATATGCCTGCCGAAAAATGACAAAACTCGGAGATTACTTATTGATGAAATTAGAAAAAATGGTGATTATATCCATAATATCGATGCATCGTTAAATAATGGAACTCTAATCGTGCCCCGTCAAAAGCGAGTTAATTCTAAAAATGAAGTTGTTGATTTCATATGTTGCAAGGGATGTTCTGGATTTTTTCCCAAAAGCACAATACGAAGTCATATTAATAATTGCAAAGGCAGCGATCATAAGAAAGGAACTCGTGACTTGCTTAAACAAGGTCGCTCCAAAACCGGCTTTATGCATAAAAGTGCAAACGACGTTGTGCGCACAAAAATAATGCCTGTTTTAAATGATGATCCAATTTCTCGGAATCTGATATATGATGAATTGATTGTTTTATTCGCAAACGCAGAATCTATGAAGCACGGCGAACTTCAGTACGATATGATCAGAGCAAACATGAGATTGCTAAGCAGACTATTATGTGAAATAAAAAAATCTGAACCCAATGAGATACAGGAACTTAAAGACGCCATTAATCCCAAACATTTGGATTTAATGATATCTTGTATCAGAAAAGTGGCTCAGTGGGACTCTTCTTTGTTGTTTTTTAAAACACCTTCAGTCGCAACGAACCTTACAACTTTAATTAAAAAGTGCGCAAAAATATTATGGACTCATTGCATAAAAACACAAAATCATGAAAAAAAAAAAATAATTAAAGATTTTCTTGTTCTATGGGAAACCGAAATCCCTCTTTTTATAAACAAAAAAGCTATAGAAGATCAGTCAAAGAAAAAGAGAGCTCTACCAACTATCTTACCATGTAAAGAAGACATCAAAAAACTTTTTGATTATGTGATAAAAAAGTCTGAAAATTCTCTTAGTGTGCTGAAAATTAAGTTTGATTTTTTGTCATGGACATCGTTAATACAAAGCACACTAATTGGCCTTCAAATTTTTAACCGCCGTAGAGCTGGTGAAATTGAAAGACTAACAATTGAGAACTATCTAACAGGCCACGCCATCGATGAAAATGTGGATAAAGAAAACTTCGACCGTCTCACGAAAGAAACTAGAGAAATTGCTCAAAAATACACAAGGTTGACTATCCGTGGAAAACTAAATCGAACTGTGCCAGTGCTGCTCACACCGTTTGACAATTATTGTATTGAAACTATTCTTAAATATCGTAAAAGAGCTGGTGTTAAGAAAAATAATGATTACATATTTAGCGTGCCTAACGCCAAGCCTTTAGCAAAGCAGTATGTACGGGCTTGCCCCATTCTAAAAAGATTTGCCCTGGAGTGTGGGGCTCGCTGCCCAGGGGCCTTAAGGGGAACGATGCTTCGAAAGCATTTAGCTACCTATACATCGATGCTTAACGTCGAAGATGTCCAAATTGATAGGCTTGCCAATTTTATGGGTCATCATAAAGATATACACAAAGAAATCTACAGAATCCCTGTAACAGTAGCGGAGATTGCCGAAGTATCCCAGATGCTTATGGCAGCTCTTGGAAATAATGTTGAGGATGAAAACACAGTAGCCCTTGATCAGTTAAAAGAAAGTGAGTAAATATATTCATCAAGGTTGTGAGTGATACTAAGTGTAGTTATTGTGTAGAATATAATATTTTAACTTATCTAATAATTACTTATCCAATAAGCCCTATTGTCAATGTTTTTACATTATACTTAAAATGTATTTTGCAGATGATCCTTTAGAGGATTCGGAATCAGATTATTCTGAACAGCGATCAGAAAGCGAATTTAATATTTCCGATGATGAAATTGTAGAAAAATCCAATGCAAAAGGAAAGCGTCCAAGTAGTGAGTATTGAATTGCAACCTACATATTTTTGTCACGTGCTTACATGCATTGCGATTAGTCTGTCCTATTTATCCTCATTCGCAAAGTGAAAAAATATATCGTGCTTATTTTGCGGGCCCATTGAAGTTAGAAACTTTGGGCTTGAAATATATACACGTATATATCCACGATAGGTAAAGTGCTACAATTATATAATGACGACCACTGGGGGCGTTGTAAATCCTAAAAATCGTTTTAAATTGCACAATCGCAAATCTTACAGAATCTTAGAGCTTGACTAACTTTTTCATGAATACTATTGATGGACTACTCTGAAGATCGATAAAAATTAGTTTGCCTACGATTGACTGGGTGCGTGGCGAATGTTTAAAATTGATATCACCTAATAAATTGTTCTGGTAGGCTGTATTAATCTGTTATTGGTCTATGATTGAGTATTGCGACGGTTGCAACCGACTGCAAAGTTTTTAATATTTTTCTATATTACTAAAACGTTATTCTTTTTCACACTAAATTGTATTAAACTCTATTATTTAACAGGATCATCATTTGGAAAAACGATAAGAAACCGGTGGTCGAATGAAGAGCGTGAAGAAATATACCAGGCTTTTGGCGACCTGTTGTCGCTTAAAGGATTGCCGTCACTTAATCAATGCAACACAGTTATAAATAATTCTACATATCTAAAATGTAGGACACCGGCGCAAGTAAAAACATGGATAGATAATCAGCGCAAGGCTAAATCAAGGAACTCCGCAAATAGATTAAATAATAAATATGTTGACCATATTTAAAATAAGTGGATTATACTTTTTCGTATATTAATATTAATTTATGTTAAAAAATTTTGGAATTAAAAAAAAATTCATTTTAAATGCATGTATTTAATAACGTCATTTATGTTAATTCACATTATTAATTTTACTTTAACCTAAAGTGATCCAAAACTACATTCAAAATAAATTTGACTCTTAATTTCAATTAAGCCAGTCTGCCACTAAATTTAAAATGTATAAATTTAATAAAATATTGCTGAGTCTTATGTGGTTTCGCGTTATATTTATTTAGTTTAGTGAGTTTTATCGAAATTCACTGTTCCCTAGTCCTCATAACCTCTATATATGAGTCTCTATATTTATATAAAATCAGTATGTTTTTGGGGACAGCTATTTGACTGTTATTTACTAAATTGAAGTGTGAACTGGACCAAATCTCATCGTTCCTGTGTCCTTATAATACACGTTGCTTATGCAAAAAGGTCTGCATATGGCAACCCTGCGTTTTTGTTCCTAAAACTGACCTTATATATAAAGTTCATTATACGGAAAATTTTTATGTTATATACTGAGAGTATTTCGGGAACTGAGTCCTCGTAAAACACGTTACATGGTGTGTACCCAAAATAATGGTTGTATATAAAATTTCTCATAAGTCACGAGGCTATGCTTCTAAGACCGTTAAAATTTCCCAGAGGTTAATTTAGAAGTTCCATCATGATTCCCCAAAGAGAAAACCCCCACTTTTTGGGGTCCCTGAAATCGATGCTCCACATATATATATATATATATATATATATATATATATGCACATGTATTTGTTTATATATTTGTAGAGCGTCGATAATCGCGCCTTGAGCCCAATACAGAGCAACGGTTGTCAAGCGTGCGAGATTTGGACTTGGACTCGCAGTCGCCTGATAACTGACAGAGCAAACGAGCGAGTTAAATATTGACCAGGCTCTGAGAAATCATAAGATTCTATCTATACTAAAAAATGAAAAAAGAAACTATTTTAAGAGAAAATCAAGTACACAATATAATCAGAGGTTACAGAGCTAAATATTTCTAGATTTCTAGTTTGAGAGATTTCAAATCCTGATTCGTTAGTAAAATACAGAAATAATATTCCACAACCCTAATCTAATCAAAGCTTGACCCTAATCAGTTTTTAAATTAGAATAAACTAAGCTATAATTAAAAGTCTTTAATTCTGATGACTGTTAAAAGTTGATTATTATGTTATCAATCCCTAATTCAAAAAGGATAATATATTTTATTCTGAAAATATAAATGATATTTTTAAATGTGATACGAACAGAAATAAATTGAATTATTTTGTTCTATTCCAAGTTTTCATATCATGATTTACTGATAATATTTGAAATGGGAAGACATTTGCCTTCAATCTATCTTATCTAAGCTCCAACTCTATATACTCACATCTTCCTCCTCCTTGGCAATGGTGGTCATCGAGTTGCGATAGATGTTGGGGCAGGAGGAGGCGCGCAGGCGATAGCGATGCGTGTTGAGCATGGCACCGCGATAGTGTATGGAGTTGCGATGTATGCGCATATCTTTCAGAAAATTGGAGTTCCTGATGGAGATGTTGCGACGCAGATTCGAGCGATGCGGATTGGGCTTCTTCGAGCGGGACAGACGGCGCAGGCCCGTAATACTGTCCAGACGGGAACGACGCAGCGCCAGCTCGCTGTTCTCCTCGTGCTCGGGTATGGCAATCACTGTGGATGCAGCAGCAACAGGGCGCAGCTTTGGTCTGGGATGTGGATCAAGCAGCGCGAAGGTCTCCTCCTTAACGGCCATGTAGTAGGTGTGCATATCGTCGCTCAGTATGTCCACAGAGTTGTGGCGCAGCCCGTTTATGAGGTTGGACATCGAGGGCGCAATGTGCTTGGTCATGAAGAGATTTTCGTTGAGCGAATAACGAGAGCTGGCATAATGCGCCTCGTTGTGCTTCTGTGTGAGGTAGCCCTCGTCCGAGGAGCGCACCGACCCATTCGGCGTGCCCGCAACTGTGGAGTGCTTCTCCGAAGGCGACAGGGTCTCTATGGATGCCAGGTAGCTCTTTTTGGCCGCCTCCTCCACCTCGTGCGGTATGCCGCCCATCAGTGTATCGTCCGGCGAGCCTAGAATTGGCGCCGTGGGCCCGTAGGCTGCGGCGCCCGACGACATGGACAGCAGATTGTCGCGTGAGGGCGCCTCGGCGCCTTCCTTGTGACGCAGCGAGCGACGGCTCAGGCTTTTCACCTCGCAGATGCTGTCCAGTTCCTGGGCGCTGAGAAATGTGGGCAGGAACAATTCGCTGCGATAGCGCTTAAGGCTCGTATCCAGCGGATCATCAATTTGCTGATTGGCCTCGGTGTTGTTCTTGGTGACCAGAGTGTCCAGCACGGCCTCCTTGGTGATGCCAGTGTCCAGCAGCTTCTTAATCTCTTCCAGACACACGCTCGAATTGGAGAACGTGGTCACGCTCTGCGAACGGCTCTCCAAGCGATTCTCCTCAATCAGCCAGTCGGGATCGCGCATCAAGGCGCCACACACACAGGCATTCAGCATGGTGCCGCCCAGGATTAGTGTGGCGCCACGCCAGCCATACGAATCCACCAAATACTGTGTGAGACGCGCATAGACAAACGTGCCAATGCCCGTGCCAGAGGCGCCAATGCCCGTGGCAAAGCTGCGCTTTTTATCGAACCAAAAGGCAATCGATACCACAGCCGTGACATAGCCAATGCCCAGGCCCAGTCCGCTGATGATGCCAAATGTAACCATAAGCATCTCGACCGAGTTGCAAATGGAGGAGATGGCAAATCCAAAGGCGGAAACAAGGCCGCCAAGTATGGTCATTTTGCGGCAGCCATATTTATCCACCAGATTCGACCAAATGGGACCCATCAGCAGCGGCACCGAAAAGAACAGGGAACTAATCCAAGCGGTCTTCGATGGCGACTCACCAAAGTAGGCCAGCAGTTCGGTATTAATCAGGCCAAAAGAGAAGGAGAGACCATCCCATATGAGCGAGACTACCAACGAGGCAAACACCACAACCCAACCGTAGCCGCCATCTGGCATTTTGGGCGTCTTCTTTTCGGTGCTGCTCGAATCGATGGAATCGCCCGATTCATTCGATATCAAACGCTTGCGCTTCTTCACCTGGCTGCCAGTCATCAGGCTCAAGTTGCCCTCCCCGTCGAGAGCAATAATGCTATTGCGTACCGTGCGACTGTGGCCGGCGGCATCGTCCAGCTCCTCCACGGACAGATTGCAAAAGGTCACCTCCGGGAAGAGGTCGTGTTTGATGGACTTGTTCAGCGGCGTGTTTGCCGGCGCGGGAAGAATTGGTTGACAAATGGTGCCATTCAGTTTACTGCTACTATTATTTATATTATTGATATTATTGTTATTATTATTATTGTTGTTATTGGCAGCTGCATTGGTGTTGTTGTTGCTGCTGCTGCGCTTGTTGTTGGATTTGTTGCTGTCACTCTGTGTAGCTGTTGGCTTGGCCATTTTGTCTTAGGCTCTAATTTAATTACTTTTCCTCTCAATATATATGTTTATTATTTTTTTTATATTTTTAAAAGCAGCTTGTAAAAATTTGCACTTGTTGTTACAATTAATTGTGAACACAGTTACATAGATTTCAGCAAAAATTTCTATTTAATTTATTTTTAAGTAGCTGTAGGTGGATTTAGATTGCTTACGTTTCGCTCTAATCCGATTTCCAATTGATCAACCCTGCAAAAGAGAAAGAAAGCAGGAAAAATTAGATAACTAAAAAGAAGTTTATTTGCTTTTTTAATTCGTTTTTATATTTAAGTAATTATTAAACTGTACTAAAATTAATTAGAAATAAAATAATAATTTGCTATGAGTTTTTATTTTAAATGAGCTCAAATTAGATTACTTTTTCTTCAAAAAGTTAATCAAGCTTTTATATTTTTATAAGCTTTCCTCAAATCGTTTTATGCAAAGAAACTAACTTGTTTAAAGCTTTAAAACAGCTTTAAGTGCAGCTTTCATGCGCCTTTAAAGCTCCTTCAAAGATGTTTGTTTGAATTGTAGACAACTTGACGTTCTTTCAATGTGAACGAGCCCTATTTTGATTTATATTTATGTAAAAGCTAGCTTGTAACTTTTTTCTTGAGCAACTTTTTAATTTATTCTTTTAACTTAAACACCTGTTATTTTATTTGCTATAATTTCCTTTGCAGCCTTAAAGAGCTTTTCACCTCTTATAGTCCATGTTAAGTCTTTTCTAGTTGAATTACTTTTATGTTTTTAGAGGCTTTGTTTTATTGTTTAACTTATAAAAAGCTCTTTAGACTTGCATGTGCTTGCATATACTTGCTTCTGCTTAAAGCTTAAGGCAGACTTCATTTAAACCACTTAATTGATAAAAGCTTTCAGTGTTTTTATAAAATCAAAGCTCTCTTCGTGTTGCAAAATTTATAACAGCACTATTTTGAACGTTTTACAACACTTTATGCCCAAGCAAAAAGGAATGCGTCATTGGAACTTAAGCGAAGGGGTTTGCCTCGTCAAAAAGTTTTCAGTCTTTTTAAGTTTGCATGATTAATTGGAAAACTTTTGTCATAGCTTTATAACTATAAGAAAAGTGCAAAACTTGCGACACTTTTATTAGTTCCCAAGTTGCATAAGTTGCACTTACGCGCCAAGCCTCGGGCTAAAGATAACACGAATTCATCATCCGTTCAAAATGCCCTCAGACACAATTTAAATTTGCCATAACAGTTTGGGGTTAGTTTGTTTTTTTTGTTATTGTTATTGTTATTATTGTTGTTATTTTCTGGTTTGTTTGCAAGCAATTCGGGTTTGTTGCCACTGTCAGACCAACAACAATAGCAACAACAAAAAGACATTTCGTTTGCAAATTCGCGCAGAAACTGTTTTTCGAATGGGCAATTTTCGACATTTTCCGCTGACGATGAAAATTAAGTTTCGCCAAACGCCTTCAACTTGACCCCATATAAATAGCCAAAAAGCAGCGACAAAGAGCAACAAGCGCAATTTCCTTTTTGTTTTTGTATTTCGAGAGAGGCCCCGCAACATGCGTCACAGCGATCGAGCAGCTGATTTTAAATTGAATTTCACAAATATGAATATAATATCGGGAATTGTATTTTAGTATTTTTCCTATGATGTGCGGCATTGTTTACGTTTTTCGCATTTGGCACTCAAAGTGCTCGTCTGCTTTTATTTATAGAGCACTGTAGACGCTTAAAGGGGTTAACGGGGAGTGGAAGGCAGAAATGACTTGAGTTTTCGGGCCTCAAACAGTTTGCCCAAATAATAATGCCAAAGAGCTTATTCTTATGTAATGAAAGAGCTTTGCGAATCGATATTAGAAGATTTAAAATGAAAATAAAGAAAATAAAAAAGAATAAAAATGTAAATAATAAAAAAGCAAAAATGACAAAGAAGTAGGATAAACAAAGTTATAACTACTTTGTTTATCATACTTCTTGTCGTTTTTGCTTTTATATTGTGTTGTGTTCCATGTTCTAAAAAAAAAATACTGCTGGATTAATTTTGACAAAGTTATGGGTTCTAAAAACCTAGGCAGCCGATCTCTACAATATTTTGAGTTCGCAAGGGGCTTAAGTAACAATTTCGACAAAGTTATGGGAAGTTGAAACCTAGGATCCCTTTCTCTAAATTATTTTAAGTTCGCAAGGGGTATGCCATTTTTGACATTATTTATAGGATTTTGAAACCTAGGATTACTTTCACTTTTGGATTTGCTTGCACATTGTTATGCGATTTGGAAACCTAGGAATCCTTTCTCTACAATATTTGCAGTGCGAAAGGAGTATAAGGAACAACTTTGACATAATTATGGGATCTGAGTTCGCAAATATTATATGTAATATTTTTGTAATTTTTTACAAATCTTAAGCATGATAAAAGATTATAAAGGCGTACATTGCATTAATTGAATATACTAATACTTCATAATTCATGAATAATAATAATTATTATTATTATTTTATTTAATTTTTCTAAAATTTGTAAACTCCAAAAAAGGAGATATTTCTTAAAAAACAAAACAATACATATGAAAAAAACCTTAAGCAATATATTATTTAAATTAAAAAAGTATAATTCTTATAATTAATTACTGGACTTACCTTTATTTTCACACGCTGTTGTGTTCTCAGCCTAAGTAATCCGGCTCGACTCAAGTTTCCGTATAAAATACAAAAAAGTGTTTGCACTTAACAACACTGGAAATTGTCGGCTTTAAAACTTGAACAGTAGACCTTGAAATTTCAATTGTTTATTGTTGTTATAGTAATTGTGATTGTTATTGTAGTTATTGTTGTCACTGTCACTGCCGCCAATTAATTCACCATAATTGCACAAATCTTCAGTTATATTCAATTCGCTTAAAGTGCGTTGTGGATGGGCCAAGTGTTTATTCAGCGTGGCGGTTTTATTGAAAATTCTTAGACGTGGATCGCGTGGTATATAATGTAGAAACACTTTATTCGATTTGCTGCTGTTGTTGTAAGTGCGCGGATTGTTAATGTTGCTATTATCAAAGTTTGTTGTTGTCTTTGTTGTTGTTGTTGATGAGGATTTCTTGTTGTTGCTGCTGCTGCTGCTGCTCTTTTGCTTTTTAATGGAGCTGCCAACGGCTGTTGTTGTTGCTGCTGCTGCGGCGGTTGTTGTTGTTGTTATTGTCTTTTTAGTGGCACGATAAAGTGACTTTAGCCGAAAGTCATTCATTAAGAACGTTAACGTATTTAACACTGGCCAGCAAGAAAACAATTGTGCAAATTTTGGCTGCAAATTAAATTGGCTGCCTCTTCGATTGTAGTTTCTGTTGTTGTTGTTGCAGTTGTAGCTGCCCGTAAACGTTTTTAGCCCGGACACGTACATGCGGCACTTCGAATAAACAAAGCGAAATAAGAAAACAAGCGACGCGAAAACTAAAAACCCGAAAAAATCAAATAAACGATAACAAATTTATCGATTGATCGATGGACGTAACGGTAATGACGGTGACGGTAACGGTAACGGTAACTCAACGCGTGTCAAGTGCGCGGCGCATTGTGCGGCCTTTTCGCAAACATTTCGTTGGGGCAAATTTCACAGGGCGTTTCAAGTGCGGCGCACGCGGCGTATGATTAATGCGTTATATGTTTTTTGCTTTGCGCTTCACTTTGCTTAGGCTTGCAACTCAATCGCAATGTTGTTGTTGCTTGACGATGATTTATGCTTGTTGTTGTAGTCGATTAGCAGCTGATGCTGCCACAGTCGATGCTCCTGCTGCTGCAAAAAAGAGCCAGAAACAAAGACAAAAATTAGTTGCGATTCGTTGTAGGCGCCTCAATAAATGATTCCCAATTTGACAAGCGCCAAGCCCATTAATACCATCTTCATATTACATAGCATTTAACAAGTTATTCTGGAATTTCCATTTAGATCTATTAACAAAAGGCGCCACTGTTCAATCACAATGACTTGTAAATTGGCAGACAATGTGAAATATATTTTTATTCATTTTCACAATCCATTGAGAAATATTTTTGCCCAGTCTTAGCATAGATTGCTGTTCATATGGGTACATATATATTTATATAGATATATATGCGAATTGCACACGCCTCTTGAACATAAAAGCCAGAAAAACAATGGGCCTGGGCTTTTACCCAATTGTGTGGGCGTTCATACACTGAGCGAAAAGATAACAATTACCTTTCAGTATTTTTGGAAATAAATACATACTACATACTATATAAATTTTACAACAGTGTTTTACTTTATTTTAAAACACATTTATTGCTTTCAAGGCTATCAGGTAAGTTTAACTGAATGAAATGTAAAGAAAAAAGCTTCTTTTTACAGCTTTAAAGAGCTTTGAAAGCACATTAACTTTCGATTAAAACAGTTCAAATGAATTAAATAAAATTTATCTTATATTAACAAGAACAGAGCTTAAAGCTCATTAAAAGTTTAAGATTAACAAAATTTAATTGTAGAAAATCCAAAAACCTTTTAAAACCCAATAATAATTTTATGGAACGCGCAATTTGTTTTATGCCAACAGCAACTATTTTAATAATAAACTCTCCAAGTTAAAGCAGTTTTTATATGTGTACACGAAATGCTTGTCCAATTTGGGTTCATGGCAGACATAAAGTCGAAATTGTCGAGCTTTTAAAACAATTCAAGTCCAATAAGACTTTTGGCTGGCCCAATTGTGCAGTTATCAATGGGATCGGCTGCTTGAGAGCACATAACTCAACGTATTTGTTGTCGATTGGTTGAATAAACGCTGCGAGCTGTGCCAAGTTCAATGCTCGATAGGGATTGCATTTAATTTTATATACTAAAAATATAGTATATAATATATACGTTTAGACAGTGTAAACAACGTGCGGCGCATTTCAATTGGATGAGATTAGAGTTTAGAAAAAGGCAAATGTTAACTCTCTATCTAAACTATCCACTAAAAATTGTTGCTTATCAAATGTCAATTTGCGTCTTGACGAGCTGATAAGCTGCAATTGTTATGTGAGTATATATAGGGTATTCGAGTGTGTAGTAAAAGGAACATTAAGATTATTATCTTTATAATACAATTTGGCAACAGTGCTAAACGGGCACTGATAACGTGTAAGATTACGTCTCGTTTCGGTTACAATTCCGGACACGCTCGCTTATAATGTTTTGTAAGCAACAATAACTGACTGACTTTCACTATAAAATAAGGTAATCGATTCACTTTTCTTATCATTCGACTGCACTTCATTAATTTCGAGGAAGCCCGAGTGTCACTTCAACATAGCTGAAAAGTTTGATATTATACTAAAACAAAGTTTATACGTGCCAGAAATCAGGATATGCACTCTCTGTTAGCATTCGCTGTTAGTTTTGGATTTTTTACATCAACTAAATAATATTTTTTTTTTAATTATATATATAAATATGCTACATTTCTGTTCAACTTTATATATATATATATTGTAACAAATTGTATTACAACTTGAAAATTATTATTCTGCACAATTCTTTGTTTGCACTAAGCTGAACTTGTTTCCTGGAACTTTTACTATAAAGTCCCGCAAAATATACGCATATCTAGCACACATATTTCTTATGATTTCACATAATATCATGAATTAATGCACACCGTGAAAACAAAATAATTGCTATTTATTCACGTCCACTAAATATTTGTTATTATTAAAAAAAAAAAAATTTATTGAAAAGGTTTTTTTTTGGAATCACGTATTACCTATTATATTAATTAAGAGTGTAAGCCAAATGAATGTAATTTGTAGCTGAGCCTTCTTTTCTCATATAGCAGAAACTTCAATGAACTTATCGCGTGATCAGCCAAAAACTCTTTCAAGAAATTATCTCAAGTAAGCATCGCGTGTAAACTTCAATACTTATTGAAAGCCATTTTAAAGACTGCACTGCGCCTCTTTGTGTGTAGAATTCTGTTTCAGGTCACGCTTCACTTAAGAACTCTCTTGGAAATTTAACATTTATATTTAAAATTTAACAAACACTCCACACTTGGCATTTTGAGCGCCGAAACAGAGCAAAAATCGTGCAGGCACATGGCTGATAAACTATTTCTCAACTATTGCCGCGAAGTTAACTCCTTTTTAAGTTATCGGATAGTCCGACCGAAGCAGCCAACAGTTCAGTGGCTCGTTGCCTGGCAGACTAATAAAATGAGCAGAAAGATTCGGTGATGAAAGCCTCGAGCAGAAAGACGAACCAAATCGGAAAAGAACAGAAAACAGAACAGAACAGAACGAACAGAATAAAACCGAGACGGCGGCGGCGGGACAATGTCGTGTCTGTAATCGCGGCAATCGTTTTTGCTTTAATCTAATAAATTTCTTATCAGCAAGCGGCGGGCATACGAGTACTACGAATGAACGCACACATCCATACATATATACACATATATATATATATATATATATATACATATATATGTATAGATGCATATACATTTATGCACACAGAGGTGTATGTGTGCATGCAGTTATCGCAGTACCTGCCCCACACGCGGCCACTTGTCATTCCCGTCGCTCTGGCTGTCAAGTAGGCAGCCTTTTGTGATGGGTTTCTCTTTTACTTGAATACCCTGCACTTATGAGTGCAATCGGGTATACACATAGACTAGAAGATTTAATATACAAATAAACTATTGCAGCGAAACTCTTGAGGTGCAAGGCTTAGCTCATGATACTTTTGCACGTCATCTTTGGCCGAAGGTATCTCCCAGTCGAGTAGTCTTCTTCACACAATCTCTTAAACCTACATACCGTAAAGAAATTTGGTTAATAAAAATAGCATAGCTGAGTGCTAGTTCATCTTTCTCTCAGGGTATTTCCTAGTCGTGCACTCTCTCTCTCCCTCCGACGGACATTTTTACATGTTTCGTTTCTTTGCTTTGCTCATTTGGATTGTCGACTTGTGCGTAAATTATAATGCTCACCAAATGCACATAATACAATATACATATTTACAAAATAGATTTAAGTATAACTTAAATTTAATATAGCATATACATACATACTTTTGGCTCTCGCTATTCTTCTACTGCACAAGGCGATAGTTTTTAATCAAAGCGACCTTGTTGATTAGCATGCGAATAAAAATAATTAAACTAATTTAATAATTTAAGCTAACATTTGCATGGGAATAATAGTATATGGCCTTTAGTAAATAATAAAAGTAATAGTTTTCCATTGAAAGAGCCCAAACAAATGATTAATTAAAACGAGCTTGCGTCTAAAATTCTGAAACGGTTAAAGTTTTTCGAAAATGGTTAAAGAAGAGTATAATGGATTTGTGCAAATGTATGTAAAAGGCAGAAGAAAGAATCTACAACCCTATATAGTGTATATATTCCTGGTCAGCATCAATAGCCGAGTCGATATATTTATGTCCTTCAGTCTGTCCGACCATCTGTCCTTATGCATGAACGCGTCAATCTTAAATAGAACTTGCAACCAATCGATAAGAATCGATATCAGAATCTGCTTTTTTTTAGCATATCTCTCAAATTTTAAGAGCTTATATCACCAATTTTAAAATTTAATAGAGAGACCTTCGCAGTCAATTAATAAACACACATATATACATAAATGATTTCGCGTAAAGAATATACAGATAACGTATATATCTTTGCTAAACCTTGAGCTGCACCTGGTTTTGGTAGAAGAAGTTTTGGAGCATTTAATAGTCGGGCACTCTCGACTAGACATCTTTAAGTTATTTATGTTAAATCGGTTTAAAAAGTAAGTTATAGCTCGTTAAGCTGATTATCTACAAATGGGGGATGCCCCTTATTAAACTGACCAGCAGTTTATATGATTTCACCAAGTATATACTACTACTACAATAATTTATTAATAATAATATCAACAGTGCAAATTTCATTTGAAGTAAATTAAGAATTTAAGCTTTTAATGAGTGCACTTGATTGAGATGTTAAATAAATAGCAACTGTGACATTTAATTATAGTCTACCTTGTGTTACTTTTTGCAGGTAACATCATGTGTCACAGCAAATTACAAGTTCCAATATCAATCAGAAATACCAAAATTTGTATTTAAAAACTCTCGATATTACGTTTTAATTGCAGTTGTTCAATGATATAGAAACATTATGAAACGATATTAATGAGAATAATTCGTGTGTTCAACCAATTCAGATAACTTAGTGCAACAACTGGAAAAGCCGACAAATGTAGTAAAAATTTTAATAATCATGTCAAACACTAATTAATTTTATGGAACTGCTGTGATAAAGAAAATATGCGTGAAAAGCGAAAATATTTTTATACGCCTTGTATTCAATTTCATAATTACCAGAGCTAATCTGAGCTGTATTATTCCACTCATGTGTGTGCGTGTGTGTGTGTGTGTGTGTGTGTGTGTGTGTGTGTGTGTATGTGTGTGTGTGCGTGTGTGTGCGTTTTTGGCTGATAACAATAAAAAGTGGTTTGATGCTGACCTACGCCAGTTTAATTTGGGTTTTTGCTGCCTAATTCTGATAGAACAATTGTTATACGATGCCAAAGTCTTTAAACTCAGAACTAGGCCAACGCAATAAACGTCGAGACAATGTCATTCACTTTGCGGCGTAGTTGGCCACATTCATATTCACATTCACATTCACATCCATATTCACATTCACAATTTTTTATTGGCCCCGCTCAAGTTGCAATCATAATGGGAATAGATTTATACAATCGCTTCAAAGGAAAATTCTCAAGACATCCTCCACTCGCAATAAA